ACAGACAAGGTTCTTTGATAAAATCCAAAATACCTCCACCCAAATTATCCTCTCTTATCCCCTTTGGAAGAATGAGAGGTATTCAGCAAATAAAAAACTTAAAAATTTATTAAAAATATAACAGCTTGATTTATAATCCCAAGTTAACACTTTTAAAAACTTAGATTTTTTTTTATGTGTATGAGTGTTTAGCCTGCATGTATGTAAGTGCACCTGTGTGTACAGTACCTGCAGAGGCCAGAAGAGGGTGTCAGATCCCTCAGAACTGGAGTTATGGGTGGTTGTTAGTATGTGAATGCTGGGAACTGAACCCAGGTCCTCTGCAAGTACTGCTAGTGCTCTTAGCTGTTGAGTCATCTCTCCAGCTCACCATGCTAATACTTTACATCACCCCTGCTGCTTTTTTCTCATTTTTCTAACATTTTACTTACATTCAAATACTCTTTTCTTACTTACCCTACTACCCAGTAAGCCATAACTGGCGGTGCTTTTTTCTGGTCAGTCCAGTTTTCAGGTGTGCATTCAAACAAGACACCATGTTCTTTCACAGGGGTGAGAGAAGATGCTGAACTTGTAAAATTGGAATGATCTTCACCATTTAGTGCTTTATTTTTCTGTAAATTAATAGCTGCTGTTAGTATTAACTGGTATTAACAGTGTTACTTTAAAATGTTACTGTGCTGGGAATGTAGCTCAGTGCTTGCTTAGTATTTACAAAGCCCTGGATTCAACACCCAGAACTGGGGATAGAAAAGGAAAAATAAAATGAGAAAATGTCTTCACATAAGTAGCTGAACTGGCTGATTCCAATATGTAGAGGCCTGCAGGGTCATTCCCCCCTTTCCTGCATGAAAATTCCTACCCTTGCTCAATATTTAGTTTAAATATTAAGTATTAAGACTTCATAGGCACAGGGAAAGACTATAAGCTTTCCTTGCAGGCAGAGATGAAGTACTATTCCTTTCGAAGGCCTTCTTTTCCTCCCTCCCTCCCTCCCTCCCTCCCTCCCTCCCTCCCTCCCTGCCTTGTTCCTCCTTCCTTCTTTCTTTCATTTTTAAAGCACAGGGTCTCTCTGTAGTTCCAGTTGGCTTGGAACTCACTATGTAGGTCAGGCCGGCCTTGATCTCACAGAGATCTGCTTGCCTCTCTCTGTCTCCCAAGTGCTGGAATTACAGGCTTGTGTCACCATGAACACTGTTTTTGGTTTTGGGTCTTTTTTGAGACAGGGTCTTATATGTAGCTCTGGCTGGCCTGGAACTGGTCTCAAATTGGCTATCTTCCTTTTCTTTCTGAGTTTTTCTTTAATGTGTTCTCTGTGTGTCTGTGTGTGTATATGTGTGCACATGTGATCAGGTACCCAAGGAGGCCAGAAAAATGTCAGATCTCCAGGAGCTGGACTCTCAGGTCATTGTGAGCTGCCTGATGTGGGTGGCAAGAGCTGAGTTCCAGTTCTCTGTAAGAGCAACAAGTGCTCTTAACTACTGAGCCATCTCTCCAGTCCCTATTAATTAATTAATTAATTAATTAATATTTTGAGGCAGTGTCCCACTATATACCCCTGGTTGTTTGAAACTCATGAAACTCACTATGTAGATTAGGCTAGTCTTAAACTTGTGGTGATCCACCTGCCTCTGCCTCCTGAGTACTAGGATTAAAGTTGTGGGCCAAAATGCCCAGTCTTATTTTTGTATTTTATAAAAGCAGTAGTGCTTGAACGTAGGCACTTAAGTGCAAATATATGAATAAAAGCTTCTCTAATAAAAGATGAGGTTGTAGCTAAGAGAGCTATAGCCCTATGTTGGCTATGTAAGTAGTACTTATGAAGCCCTGGGATTCTATTCCCAGTAAAACAAACACAGACACACAGACACAGTCACACACAGACACACAGACACACAGACACACAGACACACACACACACACACACACACACACACACATGGAGTGGGCAGTTTTTAAAAGATTCAGTAATTCAGTAATTAAGCCAAACATGGTGGCACACACCTTTTATTTTTTTTTTATCTTTTTGAGACAGGGTCTCCCTGTAGCTTCAGCTGGCCTGGAACTCACTATGTAGACCAGGCTGGTCTTGAACTTAGAGATCCGCCTGCCTCTGCCTCCCGTGTGTTGGGGTTAAAGGCATGCACCACCTTTAATCCCAGCATTTGGAAGGCAGAGGCTGGTGGATTTCTGTGAGACTGAGGCCCACATAGTGAGTTTCAGGCTAGCTGGAGCTATATAACAAGACCTTTCTGTCTTAAGAAAAAAGATTCTGTAATTAACCTAACCTAAAGCACATATATTTAAAGTAGTTTTTTCACTTCCATGATGCACAATGTCTAAATTTCAGATTTATTACAGCATTAGCACTGGGTGTGGTGGTGTACACCTATCAATCCCAGTATTTGGGAAACTGAGACAGGAGGAATACCAGTTCAAGGCCAGTTTGGGCTACACAGAAAGACTTTGCCTCAGACAAAACAAAACAAAAAACAAAGCAAAACAAAACAGAACAAAAACCAAGCAAGTAAACAAAGTTTTAGCAAAACAATAACAGACATAGAATTGAGACTTGTCCTAAATTTCTTTTCTGCCTCTTTGATAACAAACTAACCCAAAGAAACTTAGGGGAAGAAAGGGTTTATTTCAGTTTACAGGTTATAGTCCATCATTGAGGGAAGTCAGTCAGGAACTCAAGTGGCTTTCCATGCCTTCAAAACCAGTACCAAGTAGTTGACTCTTACACATTGCCAAGTTCTAGCTACCAGCTTGAGATGTAGCCTTGGACTCCAGGACTATAGTTTCTGTGTGCTGATGATGAGGGAATACACCCCGTAAGAGTTTATCTCAATGATGATTGATCCCTTATTCTTGACCATAGCTAATTCTTCAGCCCCAGAATAACCAACACAGATTCTTAACCCAAAATATCACACAAACAGCCCTGAAAGTCTTTGCTTTCCTCTGAAACTTCACAAGCCATGCCTTAGTTGTCTACATTTCTTTCAGCATTTTTATTTTCCAAACTCCCATGGAATGGCTCATTAAACTCTGAGCACTCAACAGCTTTTCCAGCTCAATGTTCCAATTGCTTCCACAATTCTTCCTCAAAACAAAGTGGTCAGTTCTACCACAGTAATACCCGACTTTTCCTGGTAACAAATTCTATTCTAATTTCCCTTCTCTGCAGTGATAAAACACTCTGACCCAAAGCAATTTGGGATTGAAAGGGTTTATTTCAGCATATACTTCCAGATCATAATAGTGGGGTCATTCTTGCTGTTGTCTCTTGAAATTGTTTATATAATTCATCAAGAAGTCCTTTTGATTCATCTTCCAGTACATATCCAGCATTTAGATGCCACTAACATCTCTTGCTTTGAGGATTTTAATAGCCTCCTAACTGGTCCCTGCTTCCATCCTTATTAACTGACAGACCAATTTCTAAAGAGGACCCAAAAATTCTTTAAAAACTAATGATTATATCCCTTCTCTACTGGAAAGTGTGCAAGAAGGCTCCATTTCTTATAGAAAGAAATCCTTATCATAACCACCTAGGCCATGTATGACCTTAGTTACCTTAGTGATCTTATCTCTTGAACCTGGGACACTCACTCCAGAGCTCCCAGCCCCTCCAACTCTGCAGCTGTCCTGCACTTGCTGTCCCTCTGTCAAAAGCTGTGCCTTCCAGACAGCCACATAGCTCTCTCCCTCACTTCATTCATGTCTTCACAAATGGCTTGATGTGACCAGAGGGACCTTGTAAAATAGTAACCTCTACCACTCAGCCTTCCATGTTTATTATTGTTCTGGTTTGTTTCTTCATTGCTGTGACAAAACACTCTGACCAGTACCAACTTGGGGAGGAAAGGGTTTATTTATCTTACATCTCCCGGGTCACAGTTCATCGGGGAGCCCAAGGTAGGAACTCAGGGCAGGAACCTGGAATCAGGAGCTGGAGTACAGGCCATGGAGGAATGCTGCTTACTGGCTTGCTCCCCTGGCCCCTGCTCAACCTGCTTTCTTATGCTACATAGGCCCACTTGCCCAGGGGTGGCACCACCCACAGTGGGCTGGGCGCTCCCACATCACTCATCAAGAAGATGCCCCTCAGACATGGCCACAGGCCAGTCCAATAGAGGCAATTGCCCAATTGAGGCTCCCTCAACCCAGGTGTATCAAGTTGACACTAAAGCTATTCAGCACAATTATTCTCTTGACACTTATTTTACTGGACATACTATTTGCTAATTTATTTATCTCCAGCATTAGAAAACAGGCTTCAGGGATGGGATTTAGTATGTTTCATTTCCTAGTGCATAGAATAGTGTCTAGTGATTAATGGGTACCTCAATATTTAATATGAGAAATACCAGTTGTTACTAAATATAATCAAATAAGTTAATGATATATTCCCTTAGAGCATCAACCAGTGTGTTAATGTGGGAAGGAAAAGCCTAAGAACCCAAAGCACAAAGGGTATCCTGGTCAAACATAATGCTTTTGCTAATAACAATGTCTGAGAACTTGAAGAAGTCTTATAAGATAGACTTTTAGTATTGAATGGGCCCTGAGAAGTGATATCATCTAGCCAGATCACTTGACAAGCTGAGGAAACAGGAAAAAGTCAAGGCTTAGGATGTGGCTCTTCACTCCCAGCCCAATGTTCTACTTTTAAACCCAAGTTTTTCACAAAATTGGTATGTTAGATACATTACAATTGTCTTCAAAGTTACTTCTGGAAGGATGTCAGACCAGCTAAAAGTAAACCTCTCCCTCCTTCTCTCCTTCTTCCTTAGCTTCCTCTCTCCCTTCCTTCTTCCCTCCCTCCATTCCCTTCTCCTCCCTTAAAAAAAGATTCAAGTGACTAAGGAGGCCAAATGGCATCAGATGCCCTGAAGTCAGAATTATAGGCAGTTGTAAGTCACTTGATATGGGTACTAGGAATGGAAACCTGGTCCTCTACAAGAGTAGTAGTACGTGTTCTTAATTGCTGAGTCATATCTCCAGCCCTTCTCTTTTTTTGGGATAGGATCTCATGAAGTCTAGGCTGGTCTTGGACTTGCTATGAGGCTGAAGATGACCTTGAGTTTCTAATCCTCCTGCCTTCAACTCCTGAGTGCTAGGATTTACAGGTACGTATCACCACACCAAGTTTACTCAGTGCTAGGGACGGAATTCAGGACTTCCTTTAGGAAAGCATTCTATGTGAACTGACCTACATCCCTAACCCTGAATCTCTGTATGTTTGTCTTAATAAAATTTTTCCCTATCATCAAAACAAACTAATTGATCTTTTTCATTTGTTTTGTTTTGTGAGACTGGGTTTCACTATATAGCCCTGGCTGGCCTGGAACTCACTATGTAGACCAGGCTGGCCTGGAACTCACAGAGATCCACCTGCTTTTGCCTCCTAAGTGCTGGAATTAATGGTATGTGCTACTATGGCTGGCCTAATTGACCTTTTAGTTATATATATTACTGTTTTTCATTAGGTGCAGCATTAACTGAAATTTCACTGAAAAAAACTAGCAATCAGTTAACAAACTGTGCTAAAACATCTGCATGCTGTGTCCACAACTCTAACCTATTATGTTCACTAATTCCTCTCACTGGTTAATGAATACTTGAAGAATTATTAGTTATTTAAGGAATAAAATTGATAGATGTTAATGATCAAGTAATGGTAATGGTTAAATCACAGATATCAAACATGAGAGGTTATCTGATTTTATAAACTATCACATTTTACTTTGCTATAGAAAATCTAGGTCCACCATTTTCAGAAATAATATTCCAGGATATATAACTCAGTGTTACAAAAAAGATATGAGGTTAAGTATCATAGTACAATCCTTTTGACCCAGAAATTATATTGGCTAACGTTAAAATGAAACAATTAAATAAAACACTGCTGGTCATGTTGACTATACAGTAGAGAGAGCTGATATTGGCAGAAGACTGTATTTAATTATTTACCTCTTCCACCAATGTCTGTTGGAAAATTGCACGAATGGAAAGACAACACTGATGGAAATTCTTTATTAGCTGAGAGTGGAGGGAGCCGCTGAGCTGTGCCACCTCTTCATGGGTGGGAGCAATGAAGATGCCTTGCACTGTCTCTAAAGCAACATAGTGGAAGAGTGTATTCTCAGGTCCAGATGTCAATCTTGAAAAGAAGACACAGAGAAGGAAGTTTAAGTAAATGCAAAAGTATTGTTTCATTTTAAATTCTGTAGTGTTCTCAGAAGGTTTTACGTACAAAATAATATTAGTAGCACAATCAGGGAAGGGAAACTGGACCAAACATTTAGTTCCTTGTCCTTAACTAAAGTACATGTTAGGCTATCGTTAATTCCCTTAACAGAGACAAATAGCACAAGCTCTGAAAGAATACACACCAATTTATTTGCAAGGAACTTAATTGTCTCTTTACTAAACAAACAAAATTGGCTTTGGCCCCCTTTTACCATGACTGGTAATGAATAACTCAGCTGATGCCGGGGTGAGCTCTCAACTAGAGTAACAATTATCAGCTTAGAGGCAGAACACATGTATCTTCCAGCAAGCTAAACACATTGTTCAACAATGTTTAACTCCTTTACATGACAGTAAAATTGATGATCCTGAAGAAATATAAAATGATTAGCAATTAAAAAGTTGAACGAATACTCTATATCATTGTGCTAATAACTGATAATATTCTACTTATTATTACACTCTTCCTTATTGTCTGTATTCTCTTATTATTTTCACTTTTTCTTTGCTTCCTCAGCTTTTCCTCCCATATTTAATCTCAGGTTAGCAGAACCTATAAATTTTATTAAGTTAATTACTAAATGGAAGACAAGGGTTTTGTCAAGGGGCTTCAGGATACCTATAAAAAGTTTCATTCAAAATTACTTGCTTAAAAACTTTGCCTATTAAAAATTAAACATTCACATGTGGAAGCATTAAATACCAAATTTTGATACATTTTATTTTCAGAGCATTATTTTATATAGATACGTTTTATCTTATTTTTGCCTTAACTGCAGAAAAAAGTACTTCTTGGCAACTCTGTGTTTTACACACTTAGACTTTAAAAATGTTTCACTGATAAGGTGACAGTTATACACTCTTTTGTGTATCTGAATTCTATTTCTAGATGTCTAATTGCTTAAGGAAAGTCTGTAGTTCATTTTGTAACTCTAGCTGGGCCCACACAACAACATCAAAATTAAGTAACAGGTATGAAGACTCAGGCAGACCAGGTTGCTAGCCACACAATGAATGTTCAACAAGAAGTGACTATGTGGGGCTAGGAGATAGTTCAGTTGGTAAAGTTGCTGGCCTTGAAGCAAGAGGACCTAAATTTGAACTCCAGAACGCATGGAAAAAAACTAGGTATGGTGGTATGTACTTGCAACCCTACTACTGGGTAGGTGAAGACAGGCAGATCCCTGTGACTCACTAGCCACTAACTTAGCTTATTTGGTGAAACTCCAGGTCAGTGAGAGACCCTGTCTCAAAAAATAAGGTAGGCAGTTCCTCAGGAATGACAACTATGGTTGTTATCTGGCCTCTACATGCATGCATACACATGTGCATCTGCACACACACAAGCACATATGCACACAGAGACACACACTAACAAATGACTATATAACACTTCATAAGGTAATTATATATTCTGTCTTGTCTTTACCTCAAAATTCCTTACTCAATGTAAGTTTGATGTTTTACCTATTTGTTACAGGACCAGCTCAGCTCCTAGGACCCAGACTGAGAGGAAGATGCACAGGGAGAAGTTAGTGGGGAATGCTCCATGAAACTACAGCTGAGGGGTGTGTGACAGAAGCAGAGTGTGTCAGAGAGAGAAAGTGAACTGTGCTGCAGTTACCACAGAGGTCTTGCATCTACCAGCTGGAGGTAGGAAGCTTGGAAGGCCTTCCAGAGTTGTCTTGAATTCAGGCAAAGGGCCAAGCCTTTGCTCTCATCTACTGTCATTAGTAGTGGGCTAGTCTAAGCAGTAAGACATTATTAGCTATCATTCCCAAGCACTGGGCTTTGATGACTGGGCATGCACCAGAGTCTAAGATTAGTTTTTAAACTATAATTTAAAAGTTAAAAATACAAAAAGGAAGTTATCCGTGGGCGAGAGGTAGAGGGGCTTTCACATTTTGAAATACTACTTTGAGTGTTTTTAATCTCTTAAAATAGGAATATGGGAGCTGGAGAGATGGCTTTCAGAGAACCTAGGTTCAATTCTCAGCACCTACATGGCGGCCAACAATCATCCATAACTCCAGTTCCAGGGGATCCAACACCCTCTTCTGACCCCTGAGGGCACTGCACAATACAAGTGCACCCACCTACATGTAGGCATAACACTTACACACATAAAAAATAAAAATAACAAAATATAAAAATGTTCATCTCCCCAAATGTGTGATTAAATGTTAAAGAAATATATAAATACTAAATCAGATCCACAAGCTATATCATAATTATACATATTGAATCATCTGCACATTCTCATTATAAAACATCCTCAAAGATGAGTTTAAGTAAAAAAAATGCTAGAAGTTTCTTACTTCATTGTGTTATATACTTCTAATTCTTTTTCTGAAAGTTCCCTTTTCAAATTTCCCAAATGAAATGGATTTGGAAGGATCGACTTCTTCTTAGTGACCTGGAAAACAGTTAAGTTAATCAGTTTGTATCTAAGAATAGAACCAGACAGCAAAGATGATTGAAAAATTAAAACACTTCTAAGAGAGCTATTTTACAATGCTTCCTTTAAATATTTTTATGCTAATTTATATCTCTTGGCTTACCCTTTACTAAGGAAGATCCCAGGGTAAGGTAAGGGAGGGCAAGTGAAAACTCCCCACCATAGCAATTACCAAATTTACATGTAAGTATATTTGTCTTCCTCCCTATAGCCTGTACTTCTCAAGGTAATGGATCTATGTCTTAGTTGTCTTAGTCACTTTATATTTCTTTTGTGTGGCATCACCCTTGATCCTTAGTAGGTATTTAATATACATTTGTTGAATGGCTAAATATTTTAAAATATACTTTATTATTTTTATTTTATGTGTATGAGTGTATTGCATGCATGTATGTGAGTGCACCTGTGTTGTGCAGTGCCATGGAGGTCAGAAGAAGGCTTTAGATTCCACTGGAGCTGGAGTTAAGGACAGTTTGTAGCTGCCAGTATGAGTGTTTTGCCTGCATCCACGTAGTGCAATGCCCACGGAGGCCAGAAGAGGACATTAGATCCCCTGGAACTGGAGTTATGGACATTGTTAGCTGCCACGTGGGTGCTGGGAAAAGATTCCATGTCCTCTGCAAGAGTAGCCAGTGCTCTTAACTGCTGAGTCATTTCTCCAGCCCTGAATGGCTGAATCTTAAAGGTCAATTTGATTTCTCATGGGAGCTGTTCAAACCTTTGTTATAAATAAATCTATTCAAATTCCTTTATACTGTGTTTCCTACTAATTTCACCATCTGAGATAAGGAGTTACAGCTATGGTGTGTGCACTTCCTGAGTATTCCATTCAGGACTCCAACATCATCCAGCTGCTTGGGTCTAAGAGAGGGAATCTATGCTTGTGCATGCCATGCCACTCAGAAGCACAGACTTCACTGGTGCCCATTTTCAGTGCCTTGTCTGGCATCAGCTCCATCCACCCAGATAGCAAGTTTCAAATATGCCTAGAGAGACATCAGGATCAGGACAGTAAGTGCAAAGCTCCTGAGGGTGTTGACTTTGCCAGTTATTAGATATTGATGGTACATATTACCATGGGTGGAAAAATAATCAAGAAAAACGATTGCCTCAAGTACGAACATATTCGTTGTTTTATAGCCACACTTTAATGTTTGTGGCCATCATATAAGTACAGATTAAAAAACATTTAGCTATAAAAAAATAGGTGTTTCCACCTGAGCACCCATTCTGATGTATTTTTGCTAAATATTTTAGTCAGATTAGCCTTGAAAATGCCCCAAAGCTAGGATGCTCTGTTATTATTGTGAACAAAGAAAAGACTGATGCATGTGAACAGCAAGACGAAAGCTTCTCTCCCTGGAAGCACTGTGAAATGAATGTCCTAGATATCAAGGGGTTCCTGTGTTGGTACTTGATATTTCTTCTTTTTCAGGTTCTAGGCCTTTGGTTTGACAATGATGGCTAAAACAGTCACTAATTCAAACAAGGACTAGTGTTACAAAATCCACACTTGAATGAACACAAACCTTAAGCAAAGCCCCACTATCTTCTGAGCCATCATATTCTCTCTGCTTTTGTACCACATCTGGGGTAGTGTGTGGGCTAAGCCCAACACCGGCTTCATCTTCATAACTAGGCTCCCATCCTCCACTGCTCTGGGAAGGATTGGGTTTCCGTGTCTTGAAGGAATAATCACCAAAAAAGGCTCGTCGGCATGTTGGTGAGGTTGCTGCTTTGGAAGTCCCCTGAAGCCTATTAAGGACAGGTGAAGTGGTCAGACTATCTGCTTTTTCACGCGGTACAGCAAGGAACCAGTCAGCAGAAGACAAAGAGGGCCCTGGAGATGTGGCTAGCTGTTCATCTATGCGTGAATCTACTCCTTCTAGCTGATGAAGAGTTGTTCTGACCTGATCCACATATATACAATCTGGACCAGGATTCCCAGTAGCTTTGGATGTGCAGCCTCCAGCTTCTAACAGCACACACAACATATAATGTCTCTGTAAAGGAAGATTGACACAGGTTCATTACCATGAAAATATGTATAATATGTACATATTAGCTGGTAAATACTAAAGGCATGTGGGAATATGGCAAATGCTCATGTAGTGATTTAGTAAAAATTCCTCTGTCTTCTTTGTTATTACCAAAGCTTCTTGATCCAGAATGAAAACAATCTCACATTGTTTTATTTTGATATATCCCCAATCACTTCTCTTAGTATACAGAATTTCCCAAGGTAACTTTCAAATACCCCAATTATCAGCAGTTTTTTTATTTACAGTTTTTCTTCTTCTTCTTATAAATTATTTGGAGACAAGTCCTATGTGGCCCAGCTGAAACTTAAACCTTTCATCCTCCTACCTCAACTTTCAAGTGCTGGTATTATAAGGGTCATCACCATGCAAAGCTTGAATTTATATTGTTTCATGGCTTCTATATTCCAAAACAAGCCAAAGGATAAAACGACCACAGGAAGGGATCGTTAGACCCTGCTAAAACTGTACACAGCATTTTACTAATATTTCTTCAGGAATATTAAATTGATACAAAGGAAAAAGAATAAAGGTGGGTGTAACATTTTCTTCAATGCAAGTATTTGATGTATTCGTACTCATAAATGGGCATGTTTGTCTATTTAGAAAGTAAGGAGATTGGGGTCAAAAGGCAGAGAATAAGTGTCAGTGAAGTGTGCAGTCACAAATGGGACATCTATATTATCCCCCCACCCCAAGGAGCAGAGACCATCACCGAAGAGGAGGCAGAAAGATGAGAAGAGTCAGAAGTTGGTGAAGACCAGAGTGAAACAGTTTCTTCTGGACATGACAGGACTGCTGCACTCAGGAATTCACAGCACCTGTGGTTGCGTGCACAAGATCAAGCTGGTCAGTATTCTAGCAGGGTTCATGAGCCCTCTACCTCTACCTGAGGAGCTATGGACAGCTGATGGCTTCTGGGGGAGGGAGAGTATGTTTTCTTTAAGAACAAAGCTCCTGGTAGGAAGACCAGGCTCTAGTAAATGGCCCCACACCCTGGAGACTATATGGGCATCACAAATTGGGTTCAATGGGTTATTTAAAACAACAAAAAAACCCCCACAAAGTTGGGGAGGTAGGGAAGTGGGGGTTGATGGGGAGGAGTGGGGGTAACTATGACCAAAATACATTGTATGAAATTCTCAAAGAATTAATATGAAAATCCAGAGAGGTTAAGAAACTAATAAATGGCCACGGGTGGGGTGGGGGTGGGGTGGCTTCCTGAGAGTGGAGGTAGAATGCAGTGATATAAAGGGTGGAAAGGGAATAACAGGGTAGGCAGTGTCAAAGGGGGTGGGAAATTGGAGGGTGGGGTAGAGGAGGGAGCATTTGGAGGAGGGATAACTAACACTAAAGGCTTTAGAAAAAGCCAATGGAGTTCTGACCTCCATCTTGTGGTGGCTTGGATCTCAGCACACAGTGAGAGAGTGCTCAGTTCTGGCCTCATGGCCTCTCTCTGACAGAGGGGCTGAGAGGCCCCGATCCTGCCTCCCAGTGGTGGTGAGTGTCCTCTAATTGCACCACACCCATCCCTCTACCTGGGATTTCAAGAGGCACCTCCCAAGGCCCCAGGACAGATCTGGCTTTGGTAGGCAAAGGCTGAGATCCTAGCAGACAGCCTGAAAGAGTGGGTTCCAACCTTCACTGGTATAGCAGCTCTTATCTCATCAGACTGCCAGAGAGAGCAGAGTTCTGGCCTTCCTCACACCTCTCTCTGACAGAGGGGCTGAGCAGGCAGGGGACTGCCTGAGAGCCCCAGGATCCTGCCTCCACGTGGTGGTGAGCTTCCCCTAATTGTGCCATACCCATCCCCCTACCTGGGATTTCATGAGGCCCTTCCCAAGGCCCCAGGGCAGATCTGGATTTGGTAGGCTAAGGCTGAGATCCTAGAAGACAACCTGAGAGGGTAGACTGCCTGATAGCACCCAGATCCTGCCTCCACTTGGTGAAGGAAGCCTGAGTGTACCTGACTGGATCCTGAATTGGGCTTCCCTGGGTACTCCTGAATAGTTGATCTGAAGCCATCAGTTCCCAACAAATTAAACCTGAGAGAACCTGAACCCTGTACCAACCAGCTTTACATAACCAATAAAAAAAGGATCTAGGCATCCCAATAATACAAACAGAAGCATACTTCAACTTAATTCTCATATCAGAATTATAAACAATGAAAGAAATTCACATACCCAGATCACAATGAAAGAATAAAATGGAAAGCCAAAACACTATGTCCCCACAAAACTCCACCAATCCTGTAGAAGAGTTCTACAAGGAGAATCCTCTAGAGATAACCCAGGACACTGAATTTAAAAGAACAATCATAAACATGATCAAGGAATTCAACGAATTTAAAGAAGACACGAAAAAACAAATCAAAGAGCTAAAAGAAGATAAGAATAAACTTCTGAATGAATTCACAAAAGAGAGAGAAACATTGAAGAAAACTCAGGCAGAAATGAAGAAGGAAGTGCAAAACTCAATAAGCCAACTTTAAACAACAGGGGAAAGCCTCACCACTAGAATGAATGAAATGGAAAACAGAATATCAACACTGGAGGATAAAGTTGAAGAACTGGACCACTCAAGCAACAATTATGGAAAATTTAAAAAAATACAGGAATGGAATATGCAAGAGATGTGGAACACCATGAAAAGTCCAAATCTACAGATCGTAGGAATTCAGGTTAATAGTGCTGACCAGATCTTAAACAGGATTATAGAAGAGAATTTCCTGAAATTAAGGAAAGACATCCCCATACAAATACAGTAAGCACACATAGAATACCAAATAGACAGGATCAGAAAAGAAACGCCTCACGACATATCATAGTAAAAACACTAAATATACAGAAGAAAGAGAGAATACTGAGAGCAGCAAAAGAAAAACAACAAGTCACATACAAAGGAAAGTCCATCAGAATTACAGCTGACTTATCAAAGCAAACTATGAAAGCCAGAAGAGCCTGGACCAAGGTATTTCCAGTTCTACATGACAATAGATGTCAGCCCAGAATACTTTACCCAGCAAAAATGTCTATTATAGTTGAGGGGGAAAGAAAAATCTTCCATGACATGAAAAGCCTGAAAGAAGACATGTCCATGAAACCAGCCCTTCAAAGAATACTTGAAGCAATACAGAGAGAGGAGAGAGAAACAATTATACCCCAGGGGCAACGAAAGAAAATAAAGGTATAATTGAGGAAGCACAAAATTAGACAGAGAACACAAACAGCCATTAAAATGATGACAACCAATATACATCTTTCAATAATAACCTTAAATATCTGAACTCCCCAGTCAAAAGACACAGGCTAAGCGAATGGATTAAGAAACAAAATCCATTGCTTTGCTGTCTGCAAGAAACCTATCTCACCTTCAAGGACAGGCACTACCTTAAGGTGAAAGAATGGAAAAGAATATTTCAAGCAAATGGCACTAAGAAACAAGCAGGGGTTGCAATTCTAATGTCTGACAAAATAGACTTCAAACTAAAACTACTCAGAAGAGATATGGAGGGTCACTTCATTCTGATCAAAGGAACAGTTTATCAATAAGATATTAAAATCCTTAAAATATATGTATCAAACTCTGGTGCACTCAAATTCATAAAAACAACACTATAGGACTTTAAGACACAGATTAACCCGAACTCAGTAATAGTAGGGGACTTCAATATCACACTGTCTCCATTAGAAAGGTCAAAGAATAAACAGAGAGACATCTTAATTAAACGTACCATATACCAAATGGACCTAACAGACATCTTTCGAATATTCCACCCAAGCACCAAAGAATACACTTTCTACTCAGCACCCCATGGAACTTTTTCAAAAATTGACCTCATACTGGGCCACAAAATAAACCTCAACAAATACAAGAATATTGAAATAATCCCATACATTCTATCAGACAACAATGCAATAAAACTCAAAATCAACACTGGACAAAGCCCTAGTCACTACACGAACTTGTGGCAATTGAACAACACACTGCTAACTGCTAAACGGGTCAAAAGAGAAATTAAGAAAGAAATAACAGAATTCCTGGAATTCAACAAAAAGGACAGCATAACACAACCTCTGGGACACTTTAAAAGCGGTCCTAAGAGGGAAGTTTATAGCTCTAAGTGCCTACATTAAAAAATAGGAAAGAGCTCAAATAAATGCCTTAACACTTAACACTGCAACTCAAGACCCTGGAAAGGCAAGAACAAATGAAACTTAAACGCAGCAGAAGAGAAGAAATAAGAAAAATAAGAGCAAAAATTAATGAAGTAGAAACAAAGAAAACAATAGAAAGTATCAATGAATCTAAGAGCTGGTCCTTTGAAAAGCTAAACAAGATAGACAGATAACCCAGTTAACCAAAAGAAAGAGTAAGTCCAAGTTAACAAAATCAGAGAAGAAATGGGAAACATCATAACAGACACCAAAAAGACTGTGAAAGATTCAGGCCATTATAAGGGAATATTTTAAAAACCTATGCACTACTAAATTTGAAAATCTAAAAGAAATGGATAGGTATTTAAAAGCATGGGAACCACCAAAGTTAAACCAAGAAAAGATCAACAGTTTAAACAGACCCATATCATATAAGGAAATCGAAACACTAATACAAAATCTCCCAACTAAAAAAAGCCCATGCCCAGATGGATTTACAGCAGAATTCTATCAGACATTTAAAGAAGATCTACATCCAATACTACTTAATTTATTCAAAACTATAGAAACAGAGGGAGAACTCCTAAATTCCTTCTATGAAGCCAGCATCACTCTAATACCAAAGCCAGGTAAAGATACAACCAAAAAGGAAAACTATAGACCTATATCCTTAATGAACATAGATGCAAAAATTCTCAACAAAATACTTGCAAACCTCATACAGACACACATCAAAGAGATCCTTCACCATGACCAAGTAGGCTTTATCCCAGAGATGCAGGGATGGTTCAATATACAGAAGTCAATAAACATCATTACTCATATAAATGGACTCAAAGACAAAACCATATAGTCATCTCAATAGATTCAGAGAAGACTTTTGACAAAATTCAGCATGATTTATGTTCAAAGTCCTAGAGGGAACTGGACTGGAGGGAACATACCTCAACACAATTAAAGCCATATACAACAAACCAACAGCCAACATCATTCTAAATGGAGAAAAACTGGCAGCATTCCCATTAAAATCAAGAACCAGACAAGGATGTCCACTATCTCTACTACTTTTCAATGTAGTGCTTGAAACTCTTGCTAGAGCAATAAGACAGGAGAAGGAAATTAAAGGAGTACTAACTGGAAAAGAAGAGGTCAAACTATCACTTTACAGATGATATGATACCATACCTAAGAGATCCCAAAAATTCCACCAGAAAAGTCCTAGAACTGATCAACACTTTCAGTATAGAGGCAGGTGATAAAATCAATCTACAAAAATCAGTAGCCTTTCTATATACCAATAACAAGCAATTGGAGAAAGAGTACAGGGAAA